GCTTTTTTTGTGTGGTCCATTTCACTTCGAAATGTGATAATGACAACCGAGGGTTTGAATTCCCATTCTAATTTGTCTTTTCGAACTCAATGGGCGGCCAACCCGGCTACAAACTTTTCGCGATCCTAGTGACTACTCATGCTGGCTTCCTGTGTGCAACACGGTGGTAGCTCATTTGATTATTACGACTAAAACCCAGGTTTTGAGCTTATCGAGAAGGACAACATTAATTTTCATTCTCGTCAAGACAATTTTTTTGAGCACCACGTGTACGGCGAGAAGCCGTGTGGGGCAAAATGCAATGACAAGTTACGTACGTCTACCAACATTTATTTAACCTTAAGGCGGTTTGTTCTACTGACAACACAGAATGGTACTAAAACATTACGAGTGAATCGAGTTATCGCTTCTCAAAAAACATTTTCTTATATGAAAAGCCAGAGATAATGGCCAGTAAACGACGCATTTCGCGGTTATATGACCTGAAAGTGATGTGTAGACAAAAACAAATCTCATTCTTCCAGTAGCCTTTACCAAAGTATTTTTGCACGGACCTGAATCTTTTACTTTTGCGTCGTTATTTGTACGAAAGATTACTTAAATTCTGCTTTCTTGCCCTTAATGGGATTCTCATTTTTGCGCAATGGGTAGTTGATGTTTTGACACATATTTATAGCTGTGGCACCCCATTTGTTCGACTGCCGATCTAAAGTGCGGTCATGCGGTGGACCGTGCTGCCATTTTTGGGTGAGCTAGCCCCTGAGCCATGCAAAGAGCCCAAGTATTGTGCCTTCCTTTGCATTAAAGAAAGTCTTGGAGAGCTGTAATTGGGGTTGTTGCCACAAGCAAGTAAAACTTTTAAGCTAATAATTTCCAATGTACGCACATCAAATTAACTTTTCAACTACAAACCTCTCCTTGTATGTAATAATTTGCGGTGGACTAAAAGGTTTTCCTCAAAATGGCCATTGTATCTTTAGGTCAAAAGGGTATTTGGGAATAAGTGTAAAATTTCCGTTGAGATTGGTATGATTTGAACTTTTTTAATAGCCTTTCATTACTTATCGTCGGAGTCTCGCCTACCTCCTCACTTACGCGAGATTTATCGAGCATCTCGTACAGGGCGCAATGGGCAATGAAGGGGAAGGGGGGAAAGCGGTGACCTCGGCGGTTCCGCGACAGAGCGTTTTGCTTCGCCGAGGCCGTCTTTTAAACTGCTGTTCCGTCTCTCAGCTACACGGCACCCTTCAAATAACTCACAACTCGCAGCACTTTGGCTGCGATGGTATTGACTCCTGCTAATCTTTCAACACATTGGAAGAGAAGCGGACTTGATTTTAAAAAAAAAACAATAACGCCAAACCCGTCATTTGGAGGCATGTGTGATGCTTCCAACACATCTTTTTACAAGTTACTTCCATCTTACAAGCTGATTTAGGGAACTTTGATGTGACGCGTTACAACAAGTACAAATAAAAAATTAATACACTTTATAAAATAGCATACACCTTCTCTAACTATAAACCACATTAATGTGGCCATTCTGAACCCAGTCACGCCTATGGGAAGTTCACATATGCGTAGTCGACCATAACTACATAACCATAAGCCCAGAATTTCTTCTAAGCTGCTTCTGGAGCCTTCAAATGCCTATCCATTTTATGCATAACTTGCAGGGCCGACCAAATTATTGCAATTGTGTTTTCATTAGTCAGTTGATGCATAATAAGGCAATGAATGCTGTCAATTAAAGAGTAAAAGAAGCTCTTCTCTGTAATTAACGTCCACCTTTTCTCAGCTTGCACAGTATTGTCACTTTTTTTTTCAAGATCACGGATGGAGCTTTGGACGGAGGTTAAGCTTGTGCATTTATTGTCGTTCCATTCGTGCTGTTAACTAATTACTTATGCATGCATACGTAACTTCACTTATAAACGGTCAACACGTTTATTTAGCATTTTGCTAACGCCTTGGAAATGCTCACCTGACATTAGCTTGAGGGGTTATGGGATTTGTGCCAATGCGGGACACATGTAAAGCATTGTTGTGCTTTCGCATTTACTCCAAAATAAACATCCGCTACGGCATAGCAGCAATATGGCTGTTCTAAAAGGTGACAATGCATTGAACAAGTAGATGTAGAATCTATCAGTAGCAAACTCAAATCATTGAGTGAGAATCTTGACTAATTGCAAGGAAACGAAATTAGGTAGTGCTGATCAAGTAGGTCACCAATTCGGAGCATTCGCTTTGCATCCAATTGAATGACAGTGAGGGTTCCAAAATCGGAAAACAAACATCCAATTTGGACCAATCAGTTTCCCACCGGCAGCAGGACCTTCAACCAATCAAACCGGGGACAGATATTTAGGGGACTATAAAAACTTCCTGCCACGCATTTGTAGGTCTGTTTGCAGCAGTCATGATCCACCTGACACCTTTTCTTCTTCTTTTTCTCTCCCTCTTTCTAACAGTGAGCCTAACAGCAGCTTCAACAATTGTGCCGCGAACCTCCTCAGAGCTTGAGACTGCTGATACGGAGGCAACGAACATGCACAAAGACTTTTTCAATCTTCTCAATGGTCCCCTCATACCAGCAGCTTTCATGAAGTCTCGCGGTGCTAGAAACAAGCTTCGTTGTAACAAGGCTTCGCCCTATGTAGATATGGATAGCGAAGTTTTCGTTGAAGAGCTTCCGAGTCCACAGATCGAGAGCGAAATTAGGGAAATTATAAACACTTTTGTTGAGACGCTAAAGCATGATAAGTCCTGGTTCGTCTCTCTTCTCTTTCAAATACGCAAGGAACAAAAGCGGAGGGAGTCCGAGGCCTGTAGTGAGGCAGAGTGTATCTACAAGATTCCCTGTTACCTGTCTCAAAGCTTTCTCTCATTGTCAATGTACAGCGAGATGCTAAAACGGGCGCGAGTAAAGGAGGGCTTCGACCTACTCAGTCGACGACGGCGCAGCCTCGATGGACTTGAAGCAGAGGCAGAGTATAGCTCCTTGGTGTCGGGCGGCAAGGCACCAGTCACCAACTGCACGGGAATCTTTGCCAATTACTGCTACAATTCCATCTCCTGCATCTACGTCAGTGTCCTGGAGAGCGCAGCGTGTTCGTAAGTTGATTGTTTTTCGTGTCAATCCTCTTTCAACGATGAAGTAGAATAATCAGCCCTTCTGCTCATACACTCAGAGATGTAACTAACTGCCACCATCCATGAAACGACCTTCCCCAATGACTCCGCACACCTGAAACTGGTTTGCAATCAACTTAAAATAGCTGAGAGGGGCACACTGTTTTTGCTTTTCAAACAAATTAGTTAAGTTGTAGATGTAAAGCCCCCTTAAGTTGAGCCCTGTCAGGTGTTAGTGACTAGTTCTTCAATGTTTCCCTCCAGACTTGGCAAAAAATGTGCTTGTGTGTTGGTCAGTTCAATATTACCCTCTCCAGTTAAATTAACCGAAAGAAGCCGAAACGGAAGATCGATTCAACAGGATTGTTTACAATGACCGAGTCATAGTAAACCGTAGGTTTTGCTAAGGGGAATCGGTGAGGCTTAACCACGCTCTAACCAAAGAGAATGCAGTTATAAAATTACAAATAGCTTTGACGACCAAGAAGGTTTGAGAGCATTCGTGAGGTCTAAGTGAAGGCTTCGTGTGGTCGGTGTTGCTTAAAGTTGAACTGAACCAAACTAAGCCATCGCCCAGCATGACCTGGAGTAGTAAACTAAAGCAGCCTCAAACAAATGAGGAGGTCGAAGTTCAGCGTCACAAGAATGGAAGTGCAGTTTGCAAGGCTTCAGACACCATAAAAACGAAGATGTATCCTTCAGCCTCCTAAAGCCTTTAGACGGATGGACGGACGGGTTGGAAGAACAAAGGTCATTTAATAGAGTAATGTCCAATGGTTGAAGTTGATTTAATGAAAGAGAGTCTGAGAAACATCCTTTCGAATCCACTCTCACGACATGGATGATAAATATTTGTAGCGTAGACGCAACGACAGTGACTCGAATCAAAGAGATGTCAACATCAGCGACTTCTAGACCACCACAGAAAGAGGTGGTTGTAAACCAACTAAAGGTGATCTGATGGCGTGAGTGAGTGATGAGTGATAATGATCGCTGTCACGACCGTGGGGGTGTGCAAGTCCCAGCACTCGCTGAAATTTCGTGCCACAATTCGTGTACGCCCACCAGAAATGGTAATGCAAGATGTCACACCCAAAACCTAACAAACTCCACTGAAAACTCCGCATCGTAATAAAGGAGTGACCACTTCATCCGTTGGGGTGGAATAACAAAGACGTCATTTCTACCATTTGTCAAAACCGAAGCCATAAAATCTGGTATGTAACAATGGCTGTGGGCATGCTTCCATGCTCGTTACTAGATAAGAGTGATTTGGCACAATCTGAGGAGCATCCATTAAGCCCCCTCGTCCCGTTAGTTGTTCAGTGACCTCGAGAGGGAGAGGAGGGTTTCGATTAAGTAAGACGTAAAACAATGCAATCTCAGTTTTTCCAACTGTGTTGAACACACAATTCTGCTAGAAAAGCAAACTTATGGACTGCTTGAACGGTCTTTGGGCTGAGGGAAGTTTTCTAGTTAGCTATTGAAGTGGCGTATGGTGGAGACAAAACAACTGAAAGTTTAGCGACCCACATCCTCCCTCCTCCTTCAAGGCTGCAAAGAGTGGATAATTTTGGCTGGCTTAATTTAAACGAAATACACTGATTCGTTGTGCAAAAGTGTTTGAAACATTAAATCATTGACTTTTTGACGGTGGAAAAATTCTTTTGCAAGAAGTATACTACTGACAAATGGAATAAATGGTGGTGGAGGTGATAAATAGCCGTCTTGATTACATATCTGAATTTTTAAGGGATTTTAACTGAAAGGTCAAGGCGAATTGAAATGGACCAGTTGTGCATCCACATGATTGACCTTTTCACGTGTACCACCTAACTACCTCTAGACAGTGGAATTCCCAACAATTATTCCACCAGAAGGGGCATAACACACCATAAAACAAGGAAGAAAAAGCATGAAAATAATCACTCAATCAACACCAAATAAATGTCATAGACATCAAAGCTTGAGGAAAAGGGTTTATATGAGTGGTTTCCTTCAACACTTGCAGACATATGACTGCAAGTTGTGTCAAAGTACTTCAATTGCCTCAATTGAGAGGATTGTCTGCAATGCCAACTGCCGCTTAAATTGCTTCCGGTGGTAGAATAGAGAGTTATGAGTCCAGCATTATCCATCAAGTGCGACTGCAAGGACTTGGCACAAAGCTCCGACGACATGCACCTACTGCCTCTTCTTAAGTGACTGGTGGTTGGTTGATGGTGGTGGTGGTGGTGCTGCTCTGAGAAAGATAAAGTGACCACAGAGCAACACTGAAAGGTCTCGATAAATGCCAACAATGCAAAACACATCAGACATATGCGGAATGCTTCTGAGTGGGTGCCAGAAGGCTTCTAAATTTGGAAGTTATGGTAATAAGGTGAACTTTGAATGGAATTCGGAGACCTTTATGCAAACAAAAGCTCTGTGTCGATTTCGTAAAAGCTCTCACAAAACCCCTTTAGGTATTTAGATGCTTTTGGGAAGAGGAGATGAAGCGGAGGGGAAGTGGGTTAACGTCTGATTCAAAAGTTGGCAAAATATGACGCAATTTTGGCAGGAGAGCACTTTCCGACACATCTACCCCTGGAAACATTCAAATTCTGCATGCAAAATTGGCATTTGTCCTTTCCAAAGCAAGTAGCACAAGACAAGGCACATTGGGAAACCTTTCCTTGCAAGTTAATAAGACCTAGCTGAAGTTAAACCTGTTTGAACGAGTATTTGTGACGCTGAAAGCTTAAATTGACAGACCCCTTCAATCGGTTTGCCATCTAAATGAGCTACTGGTTGTCCTCACATCTCTTAAAATGTTTACCTAGGTGAGACGTGGAGGTCATCCTCTAAAACAGGCACCCACTTCACCTACTCTAAGGTAAACAGACATTTGGCTTGCATTTTACTGCTACCTGTTTTTAGAAACTGCCAGCAAACACAACCCATGGAAATGCTACGCTATGCGCTTCCCAGACTTAACACAGGTTTGTGGTTCACTTCAGAAAGCCAAAACAGACACCCAAATTATCTCGGTTGTGATCTTTCTTTCAAAGAAGAAAGGGAAAATGGGAAGCCGAATCTGTTTTTCGCTTATTTGACTTGACCTTATTCGAGAATGGGAGGATCGCGAAATCATCCAGTGATTTGACTGTGAGCTTTGTTGGTTTTAGGTGTATGCCGGGCTACACAGGTCTGCGTTGTGACCTCTACGACCTTTCTATAACCCTAGCCACCCTGTCCCAGTTCCGCACCACCACGGTTGACATCGAGGTCCTTCGGCCTGAAGATTCTGCCACCATGTACAGCGTTCTGGACGCCACTGCGTAAGGCCCTAATCTGCTTTGTTTTATTTTCTACGACGGACTTCTTAATAAGCCGATCCCCCAAACCTCAATGCGCTAAGAGAGTGAATTACTGAAAGCGGAGAAATCGTCGTTAACCAGCTTCGCAGGTGGCAGAGGTGGGCGCTAATAAAGCTGGAGACCCTTCCAATGATCTTGAGTCCAATTTTTATAGCGTGGAGTTAATTTACACCCAGTTTAAAGAGGCCACCGATTTTGGAAAGAGAAGAGCCTTTTGATGCTCTACCTTAACTCAATCCAACTCTCCTGTGTTAAAAAAAAAAACTACATAGCAGTCAGATACGAAAACTGTTTAAATGTGGACTTAAATTAAAGTATTTTCCATTGTTGCTCTTAATATCGCGGGTTTATGCAAGCATGACGTGAAAAGTGTCGAAGACTAAATAATAAAAAGGATAAAATGCAAAGTGAGCATTCATGGTAAGGCCTTTAAGAGGTAAAATGTTTGCAGAACGTGCTGACTGAGGTAAAAGTTGGAAGAAAGGTTAGTTTTAATTAATGAGGTCTGCAGGAAATGGAAGGGAACATCTTTTCTTGCCTCTATTTGTTCCAATTGTTTTTGGCGAGCAAAACCTGCAATGAGAGAAATAGGAATTTTCTTCGGCCAAATAGCATCACCATGATTTCAAGGAATTTACTTGAAAATATGGAAGAATAAGAAGTGCTTTGCATGATAAACAATCTTTGGTCATGCAATGAGGAAGGAGAGTTGTTTTGCGTCATCTAATGATAGTTCAATTTCTTGACTTGGGTGGAAGGGATTGACTGCATTAGTGATTGTCTCGCCAGTACGCCCAGGTATGGCCACCGTCCACCGTCCACCTGGTGCTTGATTCTCACAAACACGCCACATGAACCATTTCAAAGCAGCACCTCTCACATCACGCCTCTGCACCTCGGGATAGAATCTTTCCAACATCCTTCAGACCCGGAGGAAACATATTCGAGTCCTTTCCATTAGGTCTACTAGTCATTTCATGATGTAGGAGTTCACAATTTGCGGAAAATAGTGTGAAGGATGTCTATAAAGTAGGTGACATGCCAGCACCAATTTCTTTTTCTTCCTGCCCTTTTAGACGATATACCTACTCGGCCTTCACAATAGAGGACGAAGTCTGACCAATAGCGATTCCAAATGCATTTTAAGACTAAAAGCACTCTCATTCTCTCTCTCGGCTTCCTCTAAAGCGGAAACACCAATTTCTTTACCCGTGTACGCATGCATCTGCTAGGAGATAAAGGATGGCAAGGCTTCTTCAGTCCTTCTCATGATTCTCCTTTTGTAAATATCCACATGCACACACTCGTATGTAACACTTCGCTTCGAATAGACGCAGAGACGCGCGAATAAACGCTTTCTTCTCTCCACACCTTCCCACCGTTATAATTTTTGAAGCCACTCTACGACCATAGAAGCACAGATTGAGAGTCAAGCAATGAATGCATTAAGGAGCTCTGATTCCTCTTGAAAGTTGTCTTCAACGCTTTGCTTGGTCAGCCTGCAGCGTCTATCATCATAGTGTGGTCGAAGGTGAAAGGAACATTGCAGCCTTGACACGTCCAGGGCCGTCGTCAGGGCTGTGCTCAACTGGAGGTATGAATGAATACAGCGTTGCCGATTTTCTCTTCGCCATTCTACATAATTAGCACTCTATGCTTTTTTAATGAGTCCAATGCAAAGGGTGAACGGCACCACTTTTGCTGGTCGCTTCACAAATAACTGTTTGTGGTGGAATGAATTGGGCTCCAAGTCATCGTGCGATCGCTGTGTTGTTCATGCCCTACGATGAGCCAAATTCAAGGCAATACTTTACCTAAATGGGTCCATTTTTTTTGCAAAGATAAAATATGACCCTTTTGGCATTAAGTGAACCTTTTGGTCTAAGTTCGCATGCCTTTGACGTAAGAAACTTCTTTGCTAAGTAAATGATAGATCGAGGTGCCGGTCAAATGATAGCAAATCCGGGATGAATTTTTACCTTCTTTAAGGGCCAAAATTTGACCTATTGCTCGTCTTCTCTTAACATTATTTGTACAATTTTCTCCTCTGTATAGGCGGTGGTACGATAGTTAATGCCTTGCAAGTTTTTCGCTGCCCAGCTGGAAAAGGAGGAGCACGCTCCACCCACTGTTTCAGATGGAGATTGTCTGAGCCTCTACATTCACCTTAACCAGAAGCTCCTCTAGAGGAAAATTTACAGCCACAAAGATGCAGCATTCTTTATCACCTCGGACAAACTTGTTTGTAGTGAATAGTAGGAGCAATTGAAGAACCGCGCTCCCTCACTCTGAATTTTTACTTGGACGCCTGTTTGCTCAATCGCACTTGGCCTAACGTCGGTCGTGGCAATACAACCACGCAAACACCGCAACAATGTTTGCCTTCGTGATAACCTGCATACCAATCATCCTCCGTCAACGTCATAAAGTGTCTTTATTAGAGTGTGGTGAAACTCAAGCCGTAATTGTTTATCGGGCGAAAGGCTGATAAACAATCTTCTAAAAATAGGTGAAAGTGTGGTATCATGCCTAAAGCCATCAAATTATTTCATGACTATTTTGTGGAACAATTTGTATTTGTTTGACCTCCATCATCAGTACTTCGGAAGAGGGGAAGGGGGATTGGCGAGGCATTTGACAAATATAAGGAGAGCATGTTTCGCCTTTTAAAGCTTCTTTTAGAAGTGTAAGCCTTCTCATAAACAGGCATTGTATCACGTGTCCCTGTGTAGAAAATGTCATCAAAATGGGACTTTTTTCCCACTTACTAGTTTGAGTGTACACACTGCATTTGCGCTGACGTGTTTCGAGGCACAAGACGTCAGTTGGTTGGCCTTTGGCAAGGAATTTATAGCTAAGAATTACACTTGCAGTCCATCACACAACCAGGCATAGTCTTCCAGGGACTAAGATGGTAGTAAGTGGCGCTTATGATGCTGAAAAAAGTTGCAACAGGCTCGTTTACTTGGCGCTGCGATGCCCACACAAAACCCATTTCTCATCAATAGTCAGACAGTTAGGATTAGACAATAGTGCACGGCGCATTTCCTTACGCTGTACTTAAATCCCGGGAATGGCAACGGAGGACCCTTTGAAGCTTATTATCGCCCGTTTTTACAGCCAAACACACAAAATGGCAAACCATCCGCTTGATGACTTTTGGTGTCAGACCATTTTTCAATATCCATGACACTAAGACTTGCCTCAAACCCTTGACGCACTGTTGTTGAAATTAGGAATCAACAAAGCTGAGTGAATACTTCTTGTATAAAAGAATAGAAAGCCTCAACAGGGTAATTTCAAAATTTTTCTGGGATTTCCATTGAATTGCTGTCCTTTGAACCACTTGCACTGTGCCTTTCTTTAACATTGTACATCGGACTACCATCGGTTATAATAAGAGCTACTTCAATTTCGAGTTCCATTTAACTAATATATACTTTAAGCTAAAAATAAGTAAGAACAAAACTATGGAATTTAAAAGGAATGATAAACATTTTGGCTTTTCTGTCAAGCTGCAATTTTTCCAGTCTAATCCGAAATTGGCAAACTAGATTGCTGCACTATTTCAGCTCAAAAATAATCAATCATCAGTTATCTAATGCAAAGACAAAAAGTGGTTAAAATGCACAATGAAAAACATTTAACAAGAGTTGCTCCTCATTTAAGCAGTTGGAAAGTTTTCGTTCGTAAACTTGCAATCAAAATAAGAAGACAAGTGCTTTGCTACTTTATAAAATTAAGTAGCAAATTATCCATAGTTTTGGCAAAAATTGGTTGTTTACCAAATTGTTGCATACTCGTTTAATGCACTTTGAAAGTCAGTCGACTTGAAGGTTCATCAAACCAAACAAGTGCTTTAATCAACAATATCTTTTTGAAACTCGATACTTCCATATCATGTTATCCCTTGGGGGTGAGCTTGAAATAGTTATCCTCATACAAAAATTCCACTCTATTTCGAAACGCAGCCCATGTTTTGCTGATAATGCCATGTCTAAAGTGTTTTTTGAATAGTGTATGGGACAGGAAACGACAAAAATTACTATTCAAGTTAGAATTCGGTCAAAATAGATCCGTTTTATGGCAACTTCTTGATTAAATTGAAGAATTTGTTGGTGTGATCCCTTGGAACTCTGCCTATCTTGCAATGCAGGTGATGCTTTAAGAATGCCAAGGGTTGCATTGGCGGCAAATCGGCAAAGACCACAAACACATTTAAGTAAGCAGTAAAGTCTTAAGATCTCAAGAAGTTGAATAATTTATCACAGTATTTTCGCCCCGCTGGCATGTACAATGTTCTCATTCAGCCTTCACAAATCCTTTCAGGCGGTCGTGGAGCAGAAATGAGTCTAACGGGGTTAAAGTATTTTTAAAGGGAAGACACAGCGGTTAGAAACTTCTGTATCACATATGCCCAGAGGTGAATAATTTGAAAAGTTTTGCCGAACAAATGCCTTCATTAGGAAAAAGTTTTCTTCAGGCTCATATGAGAAAGGAGTCAGAGGGTCTTCAGATCCATTGAAGGAACTTTTGGCAGGGACTCTGGAACATTGACATCTAAAATGGGTCCGTATTAGGGAGTGGAATCTTCATGTTCAGTCATATGATTAAGCCTAGCACTTCTTCCTCACCAATCGCTATCGTCAACTCGGTGGTAAAAAAAGCAAACATACGGGCAAGAAATGAACACCGGGACTAGAGAGCGAAAATGTGAAAAAATAAGCGTTTCACTGCAACCGAATGTTAACTGATTCCTGACAGGCAGCCAGGATATAAAAATATTATGGATCCAGGGTTGTAAAAAATGAAGCCCCTTTGTTTGCTTCATTTTTGCACCACTTCGACCTCGCTTCCCACAAGGGTTGGGGTGAGTTCAGTAAACGTAGATTGAGACCGTCTGGTTTAACGGCAGGCTTCTGTAGGTTGCAAGGAGCCCGACTTTCGTGGTGAGAGGCATGACTTCGATGCGTCAAAATCTGGAAAGTATGCTATTTGAGGAAACAGGTTACTTTAGAGTGATTGTTTGGAGAATAATTACTTAACGGTGGAATTATGTGGGAAGGGAAACTCGTAGTGGAAGCAGATGTTCCACCCGCGTCAAGCATGCGTAACAGATAATAGTGAGGATGAAAGACTCTCCGCTCGCACCCAACGCCTTTTATCACTAAATGTACTTTACAATGTTTGCTGACTGACTAGGGACGCAAAGCGACTTCTGCGCGGATCAGCATATGAGAATACCATCTCATTGGCCATCCCAAAACGATCCGCTCCCCATCCCATATTTCTTCTACATGCACCACCTCTGTAAACAAAGATGAAAGATGAGCGGAGACATTACAAGGACATAATAGGTTTTTGGCGCGGTGGACAAGGTTGAAAATAGCAGAAATCATGGATTAAAAGAGAGCTATTAAATGCAATTTCATCCACCTTGGTGGACTTGTTAGGACACCGCAATCCGTCTTTTGGGTTGAGTACAAGCTCACCACAATCTTGAAACGTTGAATTTGCCTTGAATTGTAGCCTGGGGGAATGTTAGGTCTCAAAATGACTTCGGTTTTACCATTTAAGACCTAAAAATTTGCAATCGAGCTTCGGTAAAACATTTGCTTAATGGTGGAATGATGTGCTGGGGTGAACAACTTACGGAAACTTTAAGGACTTTCTTTTCTGCACAGGTCAACTTTATTAGAATTTAAACTGGTTCCGCGCAAATCATGCGTTGTTTTGATGAAACTTGTTGATGTTTCGCATTAACCTGCTCTTTCGGCTTCCCACGTTCAGACACCGTTTTATGGCCAAGCGATACTACTCATGAACAGCGCTTCTTATGCTTGTTGATTGTTGTTAATGATAAGCAACATGGAAGTAGCTTTCAAAGCTTTGATCTAATGCCATCATTAAAATTCCCTTTCAGTTCTGCCCACTACCTTCGGAACGAAAGCAAAGGAGACAGGGAACAATAACAATTCCTAAGTAACGGTCTGGAAAATCATCCATGTCACGAACGAATGATAAAATGGGGGCAGTTTACCACCAAGATTAGAAACTTTGTCCTTTTGAATATCTACCTACGCATTCAACGCCGTTTTACGACACGATTAGGGGAGATCTGCGGACTAAGTGGCGTTTATAAACACCCTAATAGCCCGACGGCACTTCTTCCAACAATTTTTAGTATTAATGAACATTATCGTCATTGTAAGCCTGAAGGAATGATGATAAAGGATTGCCTTATCTTAGGTGTCTGAATACCTCAAAGACGGTCGAGAAGTCAACAAAAGGGATGAGAGGGACGTAAGCATTAATCTCATCCTCCTTCCCTCCCTTCCTCTAAGCATAACTACGACATCCAACCCTCTAAATTATAATCACAACAACGGTATCAGTCTCAAATACTGCTGATTTTTCAGTGGTGCGCACGTTCTACCTGGCTGAGATTGCACACACGCACGCACGCATGCAAACGACGCGCGCTTACATCGATCGCAACTCAGCCTACATGGCCGAGTGGAGATTGGACAACTGGCCCACTTACACACACTCACCACTCACTGAGCACGTGCTCTGAGGCAGAAAGAAATGAGTGCGTGAGTGCGTGCATGCGTGTGTGGCTGTGCGTGTGCGCGTCTTGAATAGAAGCAGTGTCTAGTTGTCATTCCCAGTCTTACACGAACACACATCACACTATCTATCTCCGTCTTAATTATGCTCTAATCGGCAGGCTCACCTCACCTCACCTCGTCTCACCTTGTCTCTCTCCTCTCCTCCCACCTCATGGGCAATGAAACAAGCTATCAGGCGCATCGATACCCCGTGTTGGCTTTTGAAGCGCCGTCAAGACATTCACACACAGCAGCGTCGTTGCCGGACTCTCTGACTTTTTGTGCTCAACATGAGAACTTCATTCGACATCAGGAATCTCTCCCTTCAGAGGCTGACTATACGGACAGTTCGGACAACTCTATCATCTCGAGGAGACGCCAGTTTCCTGGATCCAATAACAACAACAACAACCCTATTGTCTCATCCTTCTGGCTTCGAACAACTCCTGGCAGTTGTGGAACACCATCTAGTGAAAAGGGGTCCCTTTTGGATGTGTTGGTGAAACGGATCAGTGGTGGTGGACAGAATCAGACCTCGTCTTCTGATGAGGATCAGACAGGCGGAACAAAGGACCAATCCTCGGCGACGAGCCTGCAGGACTCAGCTTGTGAATTTTTGGAGTCTTCGCAACAACTCACGGAAGAGGAGAAAGCTCAGATCAAAGACGTTCTAGACAGGGTAAAACAGGTTGAAAATCGTGAGGCCAAGCGCATTTCGTAAGTTTATTTTAAGTCAGCTGGCTAATAATGATTGAGTTTTTCTTTGAATTTGTCCTCTAAGAAATTCCAAAGTGGGAGGAGGAGGAGGAGGAGGAGCTGAAGCACTGATGCGTGCGATGAAATAATGCGTCATTAAACCTACAAGAGGTAGTGTCAAACCCCGAGCACTAAACTCAGTGGCTAATATGTTTTAGTTGAAAATCAGAGAAAAATGTTTGAAAAAACCATATTCGATTGCCTCCAAAGGAGTTAAACTTTGTTGATGCTACACTTGACTAAAATCAGAATGACTTCATTCTGACAGCAACTAAAAACTTTGACATTTTTTTTCACCAACCTCGATTTAACCTAATAAAAAGAAGTGTTTACATTTTATTTCCAAAAAAGGGAACACACGTAGCATACTTCTTAAAACATGTACATTTTAGAGATCGTATCGGTGGTCGTAAACGTGTCTCTGAATGTTTAAGTTATCACTTTAATTTACAACCCTCACACACACACGTGTGGCCCTTTAATGCAGAAACATTCGCCTCAGCAAGGGACACGGTGCGAGGAAATGGTCCAGCGGAGTTGTTTCGCCCGTAAATTAATTATGTTTTGGAATGTTAATTTTAAAATCTGAACGCCATTTTGGCTTCTTGTGGACCTGAACAATCCTTTTCGCGGGAGTAGCATTGCTTCATCCCTTCACTTCTTCTCGTTCTTCCCTTCTACATTACTTGGATTGACGAGACCAGGACGTTTATGGCGATGCTGTAACTTGGCAAGGTTTAAAGTGAAAGACGAGTTTGAAATTTTTTCGACACGTTCACAGTGCGTCATTGTGCTATGGAAATGATTTGTCCTGCGTAAGTGACATTCCATTAAATCCGAAATTAAGCATTTTTTGTGCTGGAGAGGAACCGATGAATGGTGCCCTACTGCGCAGGACGCCGAGAATGAGAAGCTGTGCTCACATTTTCCTTTCGTTTGTACCGGAAAAAATGCCCAGCTTAAAGGCATAATACAAGGTGACTAGCTAATCATAAACCCAGCGCTTTTAGTTCCATTTGAAAGCATTCAAATATACTACTCAAATCTGTTTTCAGCGTGTGAATGGTAAATTAAAAGGGTAAATCAACTGAAATTAAAAGGCAGCATGCCTATCGCTCATCCCAGGCCATTTGACACTTTAATGGTTCAGCAATTACAGCTGTAAAATGTGGGCTTTTCCCCAAAAGTGATTAAGCATTTTCCCGATCCGTCGCCTTCCCCTCCCTTTGGTGAACTCCGTGGTTCTTGTGAGCTCCTTAAACTCATAAAATGAAGTCATTCCTCTTAACTATAATGATACCTTTAAAGTGAATACCTAAAAACGTCTAAATTACTTTACAAATTCAAGTAATCATTTACGGGCTCAAGTGAAAGATGTCTATGAGATTTACTGAGAACAAAGTCAAGTGGAGGCACTCATGAGCAGCGCTTTAAAGGTGCTGCTTGAACCACCGTTAAATGACCGATTTTGTTTCCTAAAGTATATCGAATTGCATCTATTTCAGAGGGGCATTTTGTAGAGCTTTAACAGCTAGGTCTTTGAGAGTAATTTTCGGAAAAATTGCGACAAAATACAGTTTTAATTAGTGGTGACACTTTACCTCTTTCCTTGACTACGTCAATGCCAAAAAATTACCACTCCAAAATCATCTGTGTCATTTTTTTTTCCTGAGAAAAAGTGTTACGATTAGTTAGTAGCTTTGTCTCCAAATACCCCAAGGGAAAATTGTACCCTAGGTGAAGTAGTTTGATGAGCTCCGAATTTAAGCGTTGAAACATTGTGTCATTTAAAAACTGAGCTTACATCCTTTCACACTGAACAGCATTCCAGTCTCCTTCTAAAATAGTGAATTAAAAATAATTGTGGCAAGATTTATGCAAGGCTCAGTGACTTAAACAGCCAATCAGAGGTGACGGGTCAGGGGAGACATTCTTACATGGAGGGGGATTAAGTTAGAGCCTAGTGATTAATTGGGTCTAAAAAGTGAATCCTCACCGAAACTGTGGTGTTTAAAAACACTCTATTTAGGCTTGAAATAAGTCAGGTGAAGCTATAGTTAGTGATGTCATGCCCCAACAACAAAACCACACCAAAGGTATGCCACAGCATTCGTCATGAGGTCAGATTTGTACCTGTTTGAACAGTAGATTAACTTATTATAAGTTTGACTCAAATCTCTGTAAGTAAGCAGCCAAAGCAAAACTTATTGCATTAATTGGTATGCTGTGATGACATTTCTAGACTCAACCAATCCAACTTGTGCTACCCAAAACGGCAATCAAAAGGTTGGGGCAGACTAGGCATGGAGTAGTCAGCAGTGGCGATTGAACAGCTTCAATCCTACGGGTGACTACGAAAACACTGTGTGCGATGACATACGGTGGTTTGGTAGTTGAAAAGTGGGAACGTTTCGTTTCATAAGCAGTCATTTCAACGCCTCTGCCTGCATTGATTACGGTCTTCACGGCTTGGGTGCAAAAACTTCCTTTGGCGATAAAAGCAGACAAAAACCTTCACAGGGTAGCCTAATGAGATAGAAACCTCAGACCTCAATGCATTAAGCTTTGAGAAATGAATAAATTAATATGATGAACAACGGCATCCATATGATCCCCTTTCTCGTTCAATTCGCCTCTGTTCAGGTAATCATTTCGCTCCCTTTATAGATAAAAATTTGAACTTTTCCTTTTTTAAATAATGCACTACGGCCCAAGCCCGAAGAAAGTACTGCCCTTTTATTTGTACTCACGAACTGCCCCACTTCAAGTCCTTAAGTGTCTCATCCACACGAGAGCTGGTTTTGAGTCAAAATATTATGAGGTAACATTTTATAATGCATGACAATGAATCACCCAAGCATCTGATCAATCCTCCTGATCTGACTGGTAATTACTTTTCCTCACATAAAAACGAACTTTCTGATTTTTGAAAGACTGCTGATTTTACGGCCCTTTTTGCGTCTGACTGTTCAAACATTTATCTCGCTCGCGTAGCCATGGTAACTTCAAACAAATCAGGGGTTTCAAACAAGAGGACCATTGTTTGTTTTAGTAAGACTTATCGCTTATGAGTATCATTTTTTGTGCTGTCAAGTTCAAGAACGGATTGTTGTGCTCCCTACTTGGTTGAGTTCAGCGAACAATAGACCCTTGTTAGTAGGACATTGCGTGATTTTGTGCGTAAGATTAAAACAATAATAATCACGTATTTAGTGTGAGTGAAACTATTTGGCTTTGCTTTGCTGAAAATTTGAGCAATTATGTGGAGAACGGAAGTTGGTTAGTTCCAGATTGCAATTTCAAATGCCACTTATGCTGCCCCACCAAAAGCAAAGCCAGTCTTCCAGCAGCCAATGAGGATCGTCTTGATTTATTATACAATTGTAATTGTCATATTATCAAAACCGTGGTAACCGCAAGTGGTTTTCCCTTTTTTTGAAATAGTGGTCACCTGTTCACTTAATAACTTGGCCGTGGGACAAAAATTACTGCTCCGATGCCGTTTTAAACACAAATACCGCGATGTCTTCTGCTTTCTTTTATTCCTAACTGTATCACTGATGACATGAAGTGCTTTTGCCGACCGGATTAGAGGGGTTCAGAAAGCGGGCTAACGCATGTTCACATTAATTGAGGAGCAATTTTTATAATACGATCTGGATTATACAAATCGAGCGCTGCGATGTTTCTTTTACGCTATGAGATTTGTTGTTTTGCAGGGAGAGGTGGATTAATGGCGCAGCATTCGCATCCATTCATTTTGGGTGGTTTATCCTCTAAATTCTGCTTAAATTTGTTTTTAGAAAACCGAAAAGAAGCAGCACCATTTGAAGGAGCAGAGATGAGCTTAATGTAATGTCATAATGCAATGCTATTCTCCAAAGGAAATGTGAGCAACTGCTTGTTGATGGAGACGTTGAGCGGACGCTTAAGCTGCCCTTAATTAATTCATGAACCAATCCAGTATCCTTTGTTCAGCATAAAGCGAATGGTTTCCTAATTCTGTGAAAGAAATTAAATGATCCAATTAATCCGAATGGAAGTTTTCCTCAAAGCAAAAAAGACGCTTGATGTATTTGTGCTATAAGTACACTTTGGGGAGGGGAAGGGGAAAAGTATGAGTGAAAGGTGGATTCAGTACTTTTTTTCCTCTTCCGACTTTCTAATTGTCCTAATTGTAACGATAGCTCCTTGTCCTAACAAAGATCACCCAACTTTTTATTGTTCAAAATCATAGAGGACGAGATAAGGAGGAGGAAGAAGAAGAAAAAGAAAAAAGGAGAGGGTCAGAGGACTTTGGAAGATGGGACAAAAGCACGTCTCTTGAGACGTGTTGACATCTCATCTCTAGTGGCCCAGAGCCCAGGCTGCAATGCTAAACGTGTGGGTCACGACACCGCTTAATTATTTGCGTGACCTTTTCCGAAGGGTGGGTCAGCAGTAAGTCATCGCGGCCACGGCACCTACAATGGCTAAGTGATGTACTACTTGAGGAAGAGAGGACTGAGGTTGACGACGGCGAGCTTTTTATTTCACAAGGGCTACGACATTATGGGAGGAGGATTTTTGGAGGGGAATTATTTCGGTAAAAAAAATTCCCAATCGTGGTGGGAGAAAGTTTGGCTTCATGAATGTGGGAGGTTTCATTGACACAAAAAGCATAAAAAAACTTTTTGAAAAAGCTCAAAGGGAAAGATTATGGAGATAAAATATTTATGTTTCATTGTTAAAAAGTTCTAATTTTAACAGTGTCCTTTTTCTCGTTCGCATTTGACAAAATTTATGTGGACAATAAAATTTTTTTTCTGAATTGCTCTATGGTGTAGAAATTATGTGTAGAAACAAAGCTAGGAGAGTCTTAAGAGTGGAATTACCAACCTCTATCGATGGCAGGATTCCTTCTACAACCAAAATATGCGATTATTTCCTGATATCATCTCCAAAGTGTGGAGAGTAGTGGCGCCA